CAGTTGGGGAACTAGATCAGGCTGCCCGGGCAATTGGGCCCCCTGCCCATATCTGACATCACCCCTAGAGTCCTGGGAAGGAAAACGCACTTGGAGCTCCAGGCCACTCGTGACCCCAGACTATAGGAGCTGGATCATCTGGCACATTAAGCGACCCAGAGGGCTTCCTGCTCACAGATGGCCTGAGCGTGCCTCCGTTCTTCCAGCGGCAGGCCCTGCCTGCTGTCAGCTGTACTCGAAGTACTCCCTCATGGTCTGCCGCAAGTGCAGCATCATCTCCAACAGCTGGGTATAGATGCTCTGGTCTCTGAGGACCTGGCCTCTCATCTGGCCAGAGGGCACAGGAAGGGTGTCTGACTGATGGATGACTCATACTCCGGGTATCTGTAGTGGCCCCTGAAGGCTGGCTGGCACCTCTGTCTCTGTTTTCACTTATCTTCTCTCCAGCCTAAAGCCTGACTGAGGAAACTGTCCATGACTGTCAGTGCTCAGGGACCTGCTCTGTCACCCTTCTCCTCATTGAATGTATTAATCATTGTTTTTGTTGCATTTGCTTTTGGGTTCTTGGTCATGAAGTCTTTGCCTAAGCCAATGTCTAGAAGGGTTTTCCGATGCTATCTTCTAGAATTTTTATGGTTTCAGGTCTTAGATGTAAGTCCTTGATCCATCTTGAGTTGATTTTTGTATAAGGTGAGAGATGAGGATCTAGTTTCATTCTTCTAAATGTGGCTTGACAATTATCCTAGCACCATTTGTTGAATAGGGTGTCCTTTCCCCACTTTATGTTTTTGTTTGCTTTGTTGAAGACCAGTTGGCTGTATTTATGTCAACGTTTTTTTCGTGAAAAAAGAAGCCTGGCCAACATAGTGAAACCCCGTCTCTACTAAAAATACAAAAAAAATTAGCTGGGCGTGGTGGTGGGTGCCTGTAATCCCAGTTACTTGGGAGGCTGAGGCAGGAGAATCACGTGAACCCAGGAGGCGGAGGTTGCAGTGAGCTGAAATGGCACCATTGCACTCCAGCCCAGGCAACAGTGTGAGACTCCATCTCAAAAAAAGAAAAAGAAAAAAAAGTCAAAGAAACACAACGGGATTGTGACTACAAATAAGGGCAGTACTAATATTTTTACTATATACTGAAATGCAGCTTTTTGTGGGATTTACAAGTTTTGGGTGTAAACAAATGTTCACCTTATTCTCTGTGATCAAGGTATAAAATCGCATGGATTTTTAAAAGAATGTTCAATCCAATCAAACTTTTTGATCATCCTGTACTCAAACTATCATGAAACTTTGAAAGAAAAATTGTGGATTTACACTGAAATTTTCTGTGATTTTTGATATGGTTTTGCATGGAAAAGCATTTACAGTGGCTTCATGTGGGTAGAAATCACAGTTGCTGTGACAGGGCAGTGAGCTGTCATTTATGAATTCAGTGTTGTCTGTAGGAGATATGGCACTGGAAGTATTCTTCTAGGACTCTGTTGGCATTCTGTGGATGGTGAACAGTAAATAAGTTAATGCAGAAGACTTTGATGAGTGACTTCAAACACTACAGATTATGATCGGGGATCACATGATGGGTAGGAATGGAATAGAAGATCACCTTGAATAACAAGGTAGCAGGGCTTGATAAAATGGGAAGCCACTGGGACATTTTTATGAGAGGATCCACCTCTCACCTGGTTGTGATGGGGACTAAGATAGATAGAACAAGTCTCACATTTTGTAGGAAGGTGTTCCAGAACCAGGAATGTTTGGAGCAGGGACTTCTACATCTGAAACAGACAGATCTGGACCAAAGTGTTAGAGAGAAAGTGGTATTCAGGAAGGAGAGATGCATGGCTACTTAAATCTCTAGCATTGTGGAAAAGCTATCAATTCAGACTCAGAGGGCAGTGAATGTATCTCTAAGGAAATGGCATTTCAGCAGATATGAAGATAGTACAAGATAATGGGGGTGAAGACAGCCTGAGCATTCCAGGTAGAACAACATGCTAAAACTTGGAGGCAAAGGGAATATGGTACATTTGAAAAAGTATAATATCTCTAGTGTGGCAAAAGCAAGTCAGGGAATGGTAAGATGAGATCAGAGAAGCAGGGAGGAGCTTGATCAGGAAGAAGACTGTAGGCCATGGTAAGGATTTTTGCTTTTACCTAAGGTGATGGAAAACCACTAAAGTTTTTTTAAGATACAAAATGGCATACTCATATTTATATTTCAGAAAGATCACTCTGGTTGCATATACAGAGTGGACTTCGCCAAGTAGTTTTATTTTAGTCTTTTAGAAAAATAAAATGTCACCAATAGCTTTTGTAGTAAATAGCTGTTTCTAAAGTCCAAGGCCTATGCATTGAAAAATTACAGTATAACCTATGAATGCATTTGAAGAACAATACCTCAAACTCTATTAAATTTTAGCAGAATCAATAGACTAGCACCAATTTAAAAGAACATTGTTCTGATGATGTATTTGATAATTTTTAAAAAAAATTTTAGTTGCATCTATAAAGTGAGGGCAAGTTTATCAAGAAAGTAAAGGAATAAAAGAATGGCTACTCCATAGGCTGAACAGCCTGATGATTTTTGAAGCAGTGTATACCTTTTAATGAGACTAAAGCTAATTCACTATAATTAAACAAAAATACTGTTCTTCATGGATATAACAGACTAGATTTGATTTTTTAAAAAATAAATCAGGGCTGGGTGCAGTGGTTCGTGCCTATAATTCCAGCACTTTGGGATGCCAAGGTGGTAGGATTGATTGAGTCCAGGAGTTCAAGACCAGCCTGGACAACACAGCGAGACCCCGTTTCTAAAATAAATAAATAAATTTTTTAAAAAGTCAGGTATGGTGGTGCATGCCTGTAGTCCCAGCTACTTGGGAGGCTGAGGTGGGAGGATCGTTTGAGCTCAGGAGCTGGTGATTGCAGTGAACCAAGACTGCACCACTGCACTCCAGCCTGGGCGACAGAGTCAGACCCTGTCTCAAAAAACAAAAAAGTTGGCTGAGCACGGTGGCTCATACCTGTAATCCCCCACACTTTGGGGGGCTGAGGTGAATGGATCACTGGAGGGAGGTGAATGGATCACTTGAGGCTAGGAGTGAGAGACCAGCCTGGCCAACATTGCAAAATCCTGTCTCTACTAAAAAAAAAAAAAAAGAAAGAAAGAAAAAGAAAAAAAAGGCCAGGGTGGTAGTGCACACCTGTGGTCCCAGCTATTTAGGAGGTTGAGGCAGGAGAATCACTTGAGCCTGGGAGGCAGACATTGTGCTACTGACTCCAGCCGAGATTGTGCCACTGCAATCCAGCCTGCACAAGACAGCAAGACACTGTCTCAAAAAAAAAGAAAGAAAGAAAGAAAGAAAATTCTAATAAGCAGTCACAGTTGACAATGCTTATGATAAAGCCTAAATTCAGATTTTGACCTATGGTCTCTTCTTCAACACAAATTGGGTCAACCACTCAACTGAAATATACATCAAATTTTTTTTTTCTTTCCACCCAAGCCCCGCAGAACATTTAAATTTTTTAATGTAAAAATAACTGGGACAATCATAATGGCAGATGGGAGGCAGGACAAGATTGCAGCTCTGACTGGGTCGGACAGAGCAGTGTGTGGAGGCTCGCATCAAAAATTTTAGCTCCAGAATGACTGCAAGAACAAATCAGGAATCCTGAGAGGACCAACGGACCCTCTGAAGGAAGCAGACTGCTCCTGCAGGAGCCAGGAGACACCCCAAACCCTGTGGGTGCCCAAACTGTGGAACTGGGAAAGGGAGAGCCTCTGCTCCCGAACACACACTCGCACTGAAGAAAATGAAGGTCTAGTTTGCGAGAGAAGTTTCCGACCTTACCCGGAGCTGAGTCAATCTAGAGAGCCAAGTGAAATACAGGGGTAGAGGAAGCAGTGGGAAAGGCCCTGGGAGTTCACTGGGTCCCCAAGCAGGCCATTCCTGCCTGGCTCCACAGGGACCCTTTAGGAGGGCAGCCAGAGGCCGGGGGGAAAATGCCACAGGGAGAAGGAAGTCTCCAGCTGAACTTTGTAACAATTTGAATTGAGCAAGGAGCCTCCTGGCCAGAACATGGGAGAGGGTGGGAATCTGGCTTGCAGACTCCACAGGAGGGAAAAGAACCAAAGCCCTGTTCTTTCACAGCTGGGAGGTGGGTAGCCTGGGGAAGTTATCAAGCCCTGCTACCCACTGCCTGGAAACAGACTTGGGACTGTTAGAGCGGCCATGGTGAGAGTGAGACAGGCCCTTTGGATCGATTGTGTGGGAGTTGGGTGAGGCCTGTGACTACAGGCTTTCCCCCACTTCCCTAACAATTTGCATGACTCAGCAGAGGCAGCCATAATCCTCCTAGGTACACAACTCCAGTGACCTAGGAATCTCACCCCCATCCCCCACAGCAGCTGCAGCAAGACCTGCCCAAGGAGAGTCTGAGCTCAGACATACCTAGCCCTGCCCCTACCTGATGGGCTTTCCCTATCCACCCCTGGTAGCTGAAGACAGAGGGCATATATTCTTGGGAGTTCTAGGGCCCCACCCACCACCAGTTCCTCCCCATACTACCACAGCTGATGCTCTCTGGAAAGCGCCGCCTCCCCGCAGGAGGCCAACCAGCACAAAAATAAAACATTAAACCACCCAAGCTAAGAACTGTCACAGAGTCCATTTCACCCCCTGCCATGTCCACCGGAACAGGTGCTGATATCCACAGCTGATATCCATAGATGGTTCACATCACAGGACTCTGTGCAGACAACCCCCAGTAGCAGCCCAGAGCCAGGTAGACTTGCTGAGTGGCTAGACCCCAAAGAGAGATAACAATCACTGCAGCTAGGCCCACAAGAAGCCACATCCACAGGGAAACGGGGAGAGTACCACATTAAGGGAGGAGACCACCCCTCATATTGTCTTATGCTCAATTTCTGCCTCCAAAGAAAGAAGAAGTAAAAACTAAAAGGAAGAAATGAAATCCACAAGCAGACAGCCTGGCACTACACCTTGGACCTGGTAGTTAAAGATCGACCCCTGACCTAATCGGTTATTTGCATAAAAAAGCACTGTGAAGATCCCTGTCCTATTCTGTTCATTCTAATTACCGGTGTATGCAACCCCCAGTCACGTACCGCCTGCTTGCTCAATTGATCACGACCCTCTCACATGGACCCCCTTAGAGTTGTGAGCCCATAAAAGGGACAGGAATTGCTCAACTGGGGAGCTCGGCTCTTGAGACAGGAGTCTCGCCAATGCTCCCGGCCGAATAAACCCCTTCCTTCTTCTTTTCTCCCCCACTTCCTTCTTTAACTCATTGTCTGAGGGGTTTTGTCTGCGGCTTTTCCTGCTACAACATCAAGGGAACACCCCATGGGACAAAAGAATCTGAACAACAGCCTTCAGCCCTAGGCCTTCCCTCTGACAGGTCCTACCCAAATGAAAAGGAACCAGAAAACCAACTCTGGTAATATGACAAAACAAGGCTCTTTAACATGCCCCAAAATCACACTAGCTCACCAGCAATGGATCCAAACCAAGAAGAAATCCCTGATTTGCCTGAAAAAGAATTCAGGAGGTTAGTTATTAAGCTAATCAGGGAGGCACCGGAGAAAAGGTGAAGCCCAATTCAAGGAAATCCAACAAACGATACAAGAAAGGAAGGGAGAAATATTCAAGGAAATAGA